ATAATTACTCCGAATCTGAACAAATCACTTAGGATTTTGTGATACTTTTCCCGTAGTCAGTCCTTCCGTTCCTTATGCATCCCAACAAATCATAGGAACTGCGCATAGTCGTCATTTCAATTTTCATCTTTTATTCAAACCCATTGAAAATCCAGTTTATATAAAATCCCATTTGAATTAACTCGTTTCCCGTCCCATATATCCTCTATCCATTGTTACTCCATTTGATAGTAATTCATTCCTTCAGGTATCCATTATACGTTGTTTATACTGTTGACAATTCATGGGCATGTTCGGACCAGATTGGATACGTTCAAGAGTACGAGAACCAGCACCTATGGCATAATATGTTACAATCTAACAATTATGTTAAGTTATTTAATAATTCGTGTTTCTGAAGGCTTAAATCTAAGTTGACTAAAAAACCAATAAAATTTTAAAAATCACGAAGGAAAACATATGCAATATTCCCGGTCACAAAACATTGCATTTTGTATATTTATCATTGCACATTTTTTTTTTCAAAAACCGATAACAATAAATAAAATCCTCTTGCTCACAACTAAACATAAAATACATTTATAGTAGTGCATTCATATTCAATCACCCACCCTTATTAATAAAATGCAGAAATAACATTGCAGTGAGCATTATTATTATTCATATACAACACCCTCGGGTTTCACCCGAGGGGTTCCATGCATAGACAGCAAGTTCTATGAATTAGCCTGTGGCAAAATGCTCAAGGGGAATTATATTCGGAAACACGAAGTGTCACATAGTAATATAATGACGACTCTTGAATATATATTTCTATATATTATTGAATAATTTCTGTCTTCTAAAATGTATGATTGCTGGGGAAATTCACAAGAAATTTAAAATAAAAGAGTAGAACAAAATGATATACAGGGTGTCCATTTACAATTTCTATTTTGTTTTGAAGTCAGTTCTCAATATATAAATTTTGATATATATATGTGTGGAATAAAAATATAATGCTATCTGCTATTCTCTTTCGGATATTCAATTTGATTTGCTTGATCAAGGTCGCTTCTTCTAAATGATATTCTGACGTCATATTTTTTGTATTGCTCTCACTTTCATTTAATTCTCAAATATCATGCTCATTGAGATGCATTATTACACCGTGATATGGTAAGCAATTGATAAAGCAAATTAACAAAAAAGTTTTGAAAGATTTCAATGAGAGATTTTATATTCTACACTTTATATTTTCTATGTTCTATTCTCCGATTTCACACCGATCCAACAACTACGGAATAAAACCAGTTCACTAAAATTCAGAAATGAAGATTATTTAGGGTTGTTTCGCATCTGAACAAGTGGTGGTTAGGTGGTTCAAGAGTCTTGCTGCACACTCACACAAACGTATTTATGTAACTTTTCCAAGGTCAGACTTCTTCAGACATACATAGTTCAACAGAAATATATTTTTGTTAGTGTGCAGCTAGACTCTGAATTACTTAGGATAGGTATCTTTACTTATGCTACAGCATCCTTGCAATATATGCATATGGTACACAGACACAAAGGCATAAAAGAAAAATTAGTAGTTAGTCCCACAAAAACTCATTAGCACAAGTGAGCAAGATAATCTTTAAACATGTTTGACATATAAAGCAAGAAGATTTTTGTTTTTACCTTATATTTATTATTTAACAATTACATGAAAATTATTTCATATAATTCTGATAGTTTGAATATCATCCATTCAATTAATGCCATGATTCAATGAATAAATGACATCTGAGTGAACAATGCCCAATAATTTTGGAGTGACTTTTAATTTAGATTTGTTTGCCTTTATTATTTAGTTTGATTATTAAAAAAATTGCAATAAAAGAATTTGCTAAAAAGTGAAGTATGAACAGATGTAAAAGGAACCTTTGGCGGTTAGGTAATTCAAACTTCCTGTCACTTTGTGATTCATGTGGTCATTTGCTTAGAGTAAAGTCTATCACCGTAAATATCAAAAACGTTTCTGTGCCAATATGTTGTGTCAATATGCGGGCATACACCAAAAAATAAAAAGCAACTAATAACCAATTTTCTTATAAATAAAACTTATTCCAAACACTAAGATATTCTAATGTACTCAAAATAAATGTTTAACTGCAAAAAACAGCTAGCTTGTTTTAGCCCGTTGCTAGTCAATTTTCTTCTTCTCGAAAACGAGGGAATATTTTAATATATATAGCAATATCAAACAATAGGTTTTTTTCAAACATATCGGAAAAAATTCAGGTGCAAGAAACAGCTTTTTCATTCAATTAGAGGTGGCTCATACTCAACAATTTTAGTTAATAAGTCGAAAATAAAGAATATTCTTCTTGCGGATCAAGGTTTCACCATCAATCGATTTAGAACCACTTATTAAAATAATATTACTCGTAGACTTGTTGTGATGTTCTTAATCCTATAATTACTGTATTTATTTTTATTTGTGAAGGATTTTCATCAAAAAGTCAAAAACAATTGGTATAATTACTAGGGTTGTACATTTTGTTATGATTTGTTCGGAGTTACTTTCAGGCGTTAGAGTCTGTGTTCAGACAACGCATAGAATAATTATCGGTATCGTGTAAATTTGATAACCATGATAAGAATCTAAATTACTGATTTTGACAGTTGAGCGCCAGTATTCGAGTTTGCGATGTGAATGTAATTAAGATATAACAATAGAAAAGATAAGGATGGCATTGAGCGATACTAACTCCCGTAAACCAAAAAAATACGACGAAGTATCACGATAAGACAGATTTATAAACAGTACATCGTTCTATTATGACATTATAGTTGGTTTTATTATTCAAAGCTCTCTCGAATCTCATTTCCACGTATCGTTTATGACATTATAATAGGACTACGACGAGAACTTTGTGAGGTAATAATGGGTGGTTCCGATAGGAGAGAAATATTTGAAAGAGAGAGAGAGAGAATTTTATTAAGGGGATTAAAAAGAAACTAAACAACTCTCAGGTGAAATAAGAGATTTTGTGAAGAAAGGTAAAACTCGGTGGCAATTTAGACGGATGATGTCGTAGCCTGAAGTTATATTGCGCAGAGAGACGCCGTAGGGACTTGGTTTCCAGCCCGGAGCGCCAAAGGAAGAAAATTAGCTGAAAACTACTAAAGTTAAGGTAGATAGTTAGACTTTGCCAAAGGCGTTTCCAAGTTTTATTAAAGATCTTCAGAAGAAACTCCTTGGTTATTAGCGACTATATTTTATTTAAACTAGCCAAAGGCTATTTTATAAAAACAGCCTGTCTGTATTAACATCAGGCCTAAGGGTCATTCCGCATATTACTCAAGTATTTGTCCAGTGTCCAGTAAGCATTTTTTAGAATTCAATCGAATCAAAATAACTCTCTCTATATTATAACAAAATATATATGCATATGTTTATCATGATCCAGAATCTAGAAGTTTATAAACTAATTTAAACGATTCCAAGTAGCATTGTTTTTTCCTAATTATCCAAAATCAGATTCTTTTAAAAACAAAATTTTCTTTTAATATAAGATAGACTACGTTCTATCCAAAAGTCCGCTCCGCAACGCTGTGACAGTTAAATTTTGAGATGTTATCTGATGGCGAAAATGAAAATTTTTTTTTAAAATAAATCGAAGTCGTGAAAATAAGTCAAGTCTCGATATTCAAATTTGAAGATTTGATTGAATACCGAATGCTGTTTAAATCCAAAATTACTTCCTAATCCAAGCTAAGGCCATAATTCTATTCAAAAATTCAGAATCTTCTGCGACGTTGTCGTCAATTAAATGTTTTATTTAGTTTTGGAAAATTTGACATTTATGAAGACAAATTGAAAATGATGAATTGGTTTTCATACCCGTTTAAAATTTGATGCATAAACTATTATGCATAAAATTTTCTTTTAATTTAAACGAGGACCATAATTTTATCTAAAATTCTTTTCCGTGTCGCAACGCTATAAAATGCTATTTTTATAGCTAAATTTTGTTTTGAAAAGTTATGAAAATAATCCTAGATTTAATACTTAAATATAGTATTTTAATTGGATATAAAAAGATGTTAAAATTTTATCAATCTTACCTAAATTTTAAAACAAATGAAATTATTTCTGGATTTTTTACTCAAGTAATCATGTCTAAAACAGATTTGTAAATTCATATAGGGTGTCATCTAACTCAGAACAGTAAACCAAATTTCATTCATAAACTATTTTATTACCGAGTTTTCATTCGCGATTATATGATTCGAAACGTAATATTATTTGTCTTCAGCTAAAGATACCGCAAATTCGTTGCTTGGTTAGTTAGTTTCAACCATGCTCAAATAATGAAACAACCAACTTGGCCATTTACCTTTTTTCCACGGCGTATTAAAACGTTAAATAGAAGTTTTACGTTGATTACAGTAAATCCAATTTCTGACTCCTTGAACCAAAACCAATCCCAAAATATTTCAGCGCGTCACGTGTTTGGAAAAAACCGAAAATTTCGTAAAAAACAGATAAAAAGATAACAATCTATAATTAAACAAAAGTTTTGAGAGAAAAAGTCAAAATTTACAAAAAAAAATTGAAGTTCTCAGATAAAATTTATTATAATGAACAGCTTTGCATGTCTAATGAATATAATTTTACCTACTTAAAAACTATAAATATAAATTTCTTGCGATTGAACAGTCTGTTTTCAATGGGATTTATTTAAATATAAAACAAATAAATACTGAATACATCCAATAGTCTTCCATTCTAATTATTACATTATTTTAAGGATTTTTCCAAGTCCTGCGTGTTTAATAATATAATCAGATTAAAAATTAATAATAATGAGTTTGTTTATATAAACCACAAATTGATTTTATTCCATATTAAATTAGAGAGATTTTATTTGCGTACGGAGAAAGTACCTGAAGGTGGAATATCGAAACTCTTTACTGTATATGCTTTCACCACAAGATAGAAACCTATAAATACTTTATTATTTCAGATTTAAATAACTAGGCATTACCACAAAATCGAGACTCGAAACGTGTAAAAAACAAAAGTGTATTTGTATTATTTTTTCAATTCGAGTTTCGAAAACCGTCAAGATTTTCGGTTTAAAATTTGAGGTTTTGGACGTTGACACTTCCATAAATATGTCGGATTTGGGAGTTTTGGTATCAGTACCTGCCAGCGTTAAAAACGCGCACTCTCCACAGTCACAACTTGTCCAGCAAACGCAACATCAAGTGCAGCAACCTATCACTCAAACTATTGTAACGAGTGCGCAGGATAACCAGCAAGTTGCAAGCATCCAGGTAAATATATAATTAAATATACTCCAAATGTATATTTTATTAATCTGATAACTTTAATGAATTTATTCTACAACAAAATCGCATTCACACACTCGAAGACCGCTCTAATTAAAACTGAAAAATATATGCAACACTATCATTGACCTTACCAGCATTTACTTTAAAAACAAGTGTAAATCTAAGTTGCAGGTAGATTACATATGTATTGAAGTTCATGATTCGAATGTCTGTTTGATCGATTACAATTTTCTTACAATTTATTCAAAACAAGACTTTTAATTGAATGTGAAGATATATGCAACACCATTTCGTATCCTTCTAGCATTTTCAAATGTTTAGCTATACAACTTCATATTTAAAAAATGCTTATTTTTTTCTATTTAAAAAAGATAAGTTATATAATAGCATATCATATAAAAACCTAAACAAATGCAACTAATAATGCAAAACCTTTTAATTTAAACACTTTAGTCCTGTATTTTCAAATGATATATTTAACTATGTTTGTGCACTGTTTCATCATTTTTTTCAATAATTATTATCGATTTTGTTAATTTTCGTTATCGAAATACACTCAATGTAACACGGTGTGCCCAATTTTACAATAACAGAAATCGTATGTTTTTCAAATTTACAAAAGTCATATTTCCAGGTCCAGCAGACAATACCGATCGTGTTAGTCGACGAGCAACATCACCACCAACAAGACAAACAGACAGACGATCACAATACAGCAGGACTTGGTTCCCCACCAACTAAAAGAGCTCGATTGGATCAAGAACATTTGCAACAACAACACATTATTATTGGTCAGCATCACGCAGCTGTATCAGGAATCATGCCTGCAGCATTAGGACTTATCCCGGGACAACTTGATGTGAGTTGAATTTTTTTTTAATATAAATTACGAATATGAAACTATGAACCATTGTGTAATCTCGGTAGCACGATACTTTGGCATATTTAAAATTTATAGTTTATTTTTGCAAATTTCCAATTTGAATTAAGTTTTTTTTTGCTACTGGTAATCTATTAAAACCTTTAATTACTCGTGAATTTTTATATTTGAATATAAGTTATTATTTTTAAATCTCCCATGTAGGCGGCAATTTTATGATGATATACATTTTATTTACGAACGTTATAAAATCGGACTAACACAACATATAACATAAAATTTGGCAACATATCCTTTTGGTTAAACTTTTAGACGAAATTAGTTACTTACTTTTTCAAATTTTTTTTTACATAGTTAGTAGATTCATAATATGGAAAATATAAATCATATGGTTAAATAGATTCAAATTTATTTTCTACAAAGTCACCACACGTTATAAAAATTTAGAGATAATGTAAACTTCGATGTATTTGCGGCGACCTCTATTCACGATAATTTCGTCGGAGTTACGAGGTTTAGAAACGTGCTCTCGTACCGTGAATTATAATTTATTATTCAAAAACAAAACGATTACGAAAATAAAAAGCGATGACGTAATCATGATGACGTGTGTAACTCATAAACATTTTAACAATCTACAGTTATTTAAAAAAATATTTACTCGATTTTAAGTCGAAAACAAAAATAATTTTACTTTTTTATATTATACAATAATTTTCACAATAACTTTTCAACGACATTAACAATAAACTGGATAAAACTAAGTTCTAAAAATTGAACTAAAATAACGCAAGTACGGCCCTCGAAGCAATCTATGCACTGAATAGTATCATATCTTACACATTCGTATAATGCTGAGAATTTTTGCCCCGGGACCCGTTAGAATTTGAGTTGAACATGCCATTTGCCGGGAGGGATATGTGCTGTATCGTATGAGTTAAAATTTTACCAGAAAAATAATTATGTTGTATTATAAGACCACTTATCAAGCGGTTTGCGTTTTCATTACCGTGTGTATATTTAGTGTCGCGAAGTTTTCATGTTAAATCGTTGTGCCTCTTCCTGTATGGTTTGGTAGACGTTACATTACAAAATATATTTTTTTATGCACGTTTATCTGAAACCATAAAAACTCGACCAAAATGATACGTGTTTGTCCGTACCACTGTCTTAACAAAATCAATAAATAGTTTACATCGAAGGATATTTACAACTTCATTCTTTATTTTTTAAATGCCGATCATGTCTGTATTACGTTATGATAATTAGGTTTAAAATAGGATATGGTTTGCGTTGCTCAAAAACAAAGTATAAAGCTGAAAATTCATCCCTCAAGAGCTCGAATTTTTATATTATGTAGTATTCTTTACAGCTCGCAACATTGCAAGGCCGTCCGGATTCAGCGAATGCAGAACAGAATGCAAGATTAACGCAATTAGACACGGTGTCTTCTGGAGCAATATCTCTGCAGTCCTACAGCCCGAGTCCAGTTCCAGTTACGAGGTATGTTTACTTCAAATTTTGTTACTTTCCAACACATGTTTTCCATTTTTTATCAAATACAAGTTGAATTAAAACGTCATTACATCTATATTATCTGATGTATATTCAGAAAATGCAAATGTGCTTAGAATGTTATTACTTGTTACGTTTTAAGTATCTATTTTAATGTCAATGTATCCACGCAGATATTTAAAATAAAGACGCGATAACCGAACCGAAAATTCAATACGTTTTCAATTTGTAATTTAGATATTGGTTATTTTTTAAGCATGAGTAGAACGTGTTAAAGAGACGTGACTTATAAAAGCAGCTTTTGACATATTGGTATCTGCTGGGCCACAACCTTTTCTAAGACAAAACCGAATTTTAACATTCATTTTTTTCATTCCAAATTTGACTTTCTAAAACGTTCTGAACGCATTATCCGTCTTAATTCAGCGTAGCACAATGGTTTATTTGATCCTATCTCAGTCTCATTTACATGCCATGAGTCATATAAACAAACGCCAGAAAAGGGCATACCAATGTCAACTCTGTTTGGACGTTAATAACATAGTTACATTTTATGTCTCGACGCGCGGAATTTGTCAAATTTTGAAACGTTTTCCTACGCGGGAATATTTATATGTATACTTTTCGTTATAACTCTTTGCTTTATAAACTGAATAAGCCGGTTTTATTATAATTCTTCTTTTATTAAAAATTCAAAATTTGGAAAGCTGAATATAAAACATAAAATAATTGTGAGTGCATCATGGTAAAAAAGATTTTGGAGGTAATCATATCTCAATCGCTGAGTATATTGCGTAAATTCTATTTGATGATACACAGCAGTGAGTAGTACCATAATATATAAAATATATTCAAGCAAACAGGTTCCACAATTTTTTGAATTTTCTATATTGCGATGTAGAGTTTTATATATACCATCGTGGTGTCCCAAAAAACTCACTTTTCTTTTCAATATTTTTTGGATCCGATATGCCTTTAACTACTTCATGCCTCATAGCTCATGAATTCTTCCTTTTTCTCAGGTACGCTACACCTTCAACAGTTGACATCCAGCACCCGTACTTTCCACCTCCCCACTACACACAAAACCAACCTAACACTCATTACGAAGTCCATAATCCATACCATGTTGCAGACCCATACGTACAGGTCAGTTGTAGTTATATTAGCTTGTTATACCTTATACAAGTAAGAAATTTTGGTTACGATTTGTCGACATAGAGAAAATCCCATAGAAGTTTGCCAAACCAAACTTGAATTTATTAGTAGGAAAATACAGACAGCAGTTTAGTTTGCAAAATAAACGATTTTTATGAATATTATACCGTATGTATATTACTGTAATCACGTTTCCACAAGGTACAAAGGTACAAATATGTTAGATTGAACATTCACCTTTTCCAGTTGAAAATTTGTTAGTCAAAAGTCAATTTACAAAATAAACGATTAATGAGAATTTGTGATTATTGAGCAAAACTGCAAATGCATAAAATGCAACTTCAATAATTATGCTTGAAGCTGTTTCTATTGTAATCGCAGATTCTTATCTCCTCATGAGCTGTCACATTTCTCGCTAATGTGATGATGTGATCTGTTCTCTCTACTCGCATCCGAAAACTTCGTAGTTTATGTCGTTTTGTACAAACTAAGATGAGCTAATTAAAGAAAATCTCGTTAAAAAGATTAACAATTCAAAAATGTGTTTAGCAAAACATATTTAAAGTGTAACTGTATTGCTATAATTTTTCAGCCAACTTATGTATCTGCATACGGTGCTCAACAACGAGGCCCACCAGAACTGATTGCAGCGAGCCGAGAGGGAGATTACATCCACGCAACTTTGCCACAACAAGGACTGCATGACAGATATGAAGTGTTGTGAGTGTGTTATAATTAATCTAGCAAATATACGAATCGGTTGCCGGTAGTCTTGTTAGTTCATATAATCAAAATCTGAAAATTTGACGATCAATTAAAGTTTCCGTGCGACGGGGATGCCATCAGAATGTAGAAGTATAGCTAAAAGCGAGAAATGCATTTAGTTCGTAATATGTTCTCGTCAACCCACCTTTTTCATACTGATAAAATTAGTTGAAACACAAACTATTCAAATTCAATTCATTCAAATATTGACCAATTTTTTTCTAGGCAAGACTACAATGGTTTCGTTCGGCGTGAGATGTTGATAGCCAACGGTGATGAGAATGTGGCGGTTAGTGGACACGATCCTGCAGACATGTTGTCGCCGATCCAGGTACTTCATCAAGGACAAACAATGGAGGACAGCCTTTCTCATGTAAGTGAATATTCTATTATTAAATAAATGTATGTTAAATCAAATTTGCCAATCATTATATATATTTGTGAAGTTTATTCATAATGCAGTCGAGAGTGATCCCTTAACAACGAAGACGATACGTAGTGGCACAAATATCCCAGTAAATATTAATTGCCTAATCTCACCTAGGTCACGATACAGTAGGGTAGAAAATATCAAAACGAAAATGTTTCGCTTTTGTTTTCTAAAACATATCGCGTCTTTATGTATCAGTATTTGCTTGCACAAGCCGTTGTTTGAAATGAAGGTTTGAAAACAACCCATAAAAATGGGATATATAAAGAAAATAAATTTTTAGGCCATTTATATTCATATATGTTATCGTTTTTATTGAATCATTTTTTTGTTTATTCAGGGACATGCAACATGCATCGCCACCACTGATATTGGAGTCATCAAAAAAGGTAAATATGATTTTTTATGTAACCTCCCCACAGAAGAGTTATAAGCTACCACTAACTGACAAGAGCTATAAGTATAAAATCTTCAAATTAAAATGATCAGGGAAACAACTTAAAAGTGCTTTCCATAGTTGTCAGTTTAAATATATAACAGTAAACGTTGTTTAATATATATGCTGATAGAATACACAGATTCAAATATCACAACATTGACTCTAGTACTAACTCAATAATGATATATCTTTACTTATTAAGTTTCTTTTTTATAATTTTTCAGTAATGGCGCCACTCCCAGCTTCTGCAACCACCGTGAAATCTTTACATGAAGCTGACATGATGCATGGTGAATTATCAGATGAGGAATTCGATGTTGGTAAGTTATCTTTAAATATTTAGATGTGAAGTGATTAAAAAAATAAAACCGAAAAATCTGATGACATTTTTACGGCAATTCAAATGTGCGCTTAACAGTATTCTTTGATAACGTAATGCGGCTTGTGATTGAATGTTCTATAAATTGCTCAATATATCTGTGAGGAAAGGAAGTACGTTGAATTGCTGTTCAATGTCATCGAATTATGATTTTCAAACTGGTGAAACTACTTCGTAAACACGGCCCACACAATTTTAATGCATGTTACCACTATGACGTGCTTCAAAACTCATATCATATCAAAGTTCTGTGTTATGCATGCCCTTATTAAAAATGTATATAGAAATGTACAATTTGTTCAATTGCTATATTTGAGTGTATTTGCATGGAAATAATCTTTCGGTCTTGCATGCAATTGGTCACATCTTGCATGCTAATAAATTTCGATTCTCGAAATTTGAAAAAAAAAAACGAAATCACAAAATAACCAAACTTTCGAAAACTAACACAAATACGCTACAAACGACAAGGTGTCGAAAAAAACAAGTTTGCGTTATTTGTGTTTTTCAGTTTCGAGTATGGCTAACCCTGGTGATGTCTTCTGTTCAGTCCCAGGAAGATTGAGTCTGCTGAGCTCAACATCAAAGTACAAAGTCACTGTTGCAGAAATACAGAGGAGATTGTCACCACCTGAATGTCTCAACGCGTCTCTACTTGGAGGAGTTCTCAGAAGGTAAGTTTTAAGTTTTCTTTCTCATTTTTTGCGATTATAAGAGTTGCTGAAGAGATGATTGATATTCTTGTGTATTTGAGACATGAATCACAATAAAATGACGCAATATTTTATAGAAAAACTTAGCTGACATGGCATAAAAACGGGGTGTATAATAAGCTTTGAGTAAGTTATGGAAGCCTGACCTCTAACTTCTCTGTAAGTGCACTAATGAGGGAAGGCTTTCGACCTAACCGCTCTTGACAATGGTCATTAAAAATGTCTTTGTTTATTTTTCTGGATATAAAAGAGTACGGATAGGGCCCCTTAACTTTTATGATTTCGTTATTTAAAATACATTTTTCTTATTGTGTGTAAACGTCATTGAGTTGGTAGTAATTTACAAATGAACCTTAACAATGAGGTAACAACTTAGTTATAATACATAGTGTAAAATACATTCATTCCTCTTCACAGAGCTAAATCTAAGGATGGTGGAAAACGTCTTCGTGAGAAGTTGGATAAAATTGGATTGAACTTGCCAGCTGGAAGAAGAAAGGCAGCCAGTGTAACCCTTCTAACATCGCTTGTTGAAGGTAAGTTTTGTACTTTGTGATTCAAGTCCGTTTCACATCAGTCACTTGTACATTAATACTACTACCAAGCCTTTTGAATGTATTATGGATAAAACAAATCAAATAGCTAGCAGTTACCTAACTTTTTGAGAGCAATCCCTAGAAAATTTCATTCACTGATTATAATCGAATTCGAAAACGTCTTTGAAAACTATAATCTGACGAGATAACACCTGTCCTACTTAATATTCAATAAATTCAGCTTAAGCACAAGACATGATATGACTGTCATTGACTTTTGCATTTCTTTGGATTCAGGTGAAGCAGTTCATCTTGCCCGTGATTTTGGATACGTTTGTGAGACAGAGTTCCCAGCAAAACCGCTTGCAGAGTTTGTTTGTAAACAACATAACGACCCTGATGTTCTTCATACCAGAAAGAACATGATCTTGGCTACAAAGTGAGTTTTATATATATGATATAGTTCAATTATATCGATGTCAACAAATATGTATTAAACGGATGCAAGGCGTTGCTCTGCTGGGATTTGGAAATGAGACTATGATTTACCTGCTCTTTTTTAAAATTTAAGCCAAAACATGAAACTTCAGTCAACTGAAGATGTGAAATATATTAACAAAGTACAAAATACAGCCAACTTGGTTTATAATTGTATTGTTCTTTTGAATTTACTTTCAAAAAAACTTTGCAGTAATGTTATTTATTATATGCCCAAGATATCTTCAATTTTTATTTTATCCAGTTGTGAAAATTTGCACAATGTGTGGTCATGAAAAGCTTCTAACAACATACGATGATATGATTATATTATGAAAAAGTAATATGTGCAAGTAATTACAAAATTATCAAAACTGAATTAACACATCACCTTCTTTTCAGACAAATCGTTAAAGAAATTCAAGACTTGCTGGCTCAAGACAGATCTCCAATTGGCAACACACATCCCCAACCAATTCTGGAAGCATCAGTTCAAGGACCGCTTACACATTTCAGTTCCATCACTCACGGATTCGGCACACCAGCTATTTGTGCAGCAATGACAGCTTTGCAGGTTGGTAGCTGTTTTTGAAAGCTAGTTTATATATAAAACCATGTAGATGTTTTTAATTTATAACTGTCAATCATACAAGCTTTCTGTTTAAATTTCGTGAGCCCAAGTACTATTCTTCTTCTATGTATTTGTGCTAGTGAACATACTTAGCAATACACTGTTTAAATAGTTTAAGTGCCTATGTACCTATGACCACATACTACCAAATTCCGATGTCAGTGTGCTTGTATCATTTCGTATTTAACACGAATACTATTTGATTATGACCTTAGTTTATGGCAAGTAATGGGTGCATATCTAAGAAATCCATCACACATCAAAACCTTTGTGTTCAGTCTACAAAACCAGTTTTATAAATGGTATATTTATACAAATTCTCGTTCATATTTTACAGCATTACTTGACTGAGATGCTTCGTTACCAAGAAAAAGTACCATACTTAAACGGAGGTGTTCCAACCGGTATCCCAGTCTCATTGAGCCAGAAGCACCACCATGCGGTTCTTGCGCAGGCGCAGGCGCATGCGCAACATCAGGCTCAGCAGCAAGACCCAATCAGGCTCAGCATGCAACAAAGCGGGCTTGCACAGCATGCTATCTCTATAGAGAAGCAAGATGACAAGTAAACAATGTTGATAAATAACAACATTTATATAATTAAAACAGGAACGTATTCCGCCAACTGATGTAAAAGTCGAGACGTGCAAATAGCGCCCCAACTTGAGCATGGATGACCTCGGTTGCCGTATTTTTGTTTGTAATCTGCTTTAGTGCGATTGTCTTCTACTTCTGTTCAGTACTAATTCGAGTCGGTACTGGTGAATGGTACTATATCAGACAAGACCCAGGTCTCCGAAGTGCGTCCGAACCTGTGCGTCCGAAAATGACATTTCGTCTTTCACGGGTCCCAAACTCCGAAGTAGTTAAACTTCTACAAAGCTGAACGAGATCTGTTCCAGTTGCCACGAATATAAGTCAACGTAGTTTCATAATGATCATGTGTACACCTTTTTCATTAATTCACTATTTATATAAAAAATATTTTTATTTCACTAGAAAGCCATTTTTGCCAAGCTTACAAATCGTACTATAAAACCAAGTGCAATTAAAATAGAAATTGCTAATTTTTCATTTTCATATTGCTGCCAAATATGCTTTACATTGCCAAATATGTTACTTTAGCAATCATTAACAAAAATTAACTTTTAAATAACGCATCACTACCACATCTAGTAACAAAGGAACTATCATATATATATGTATTTGCCAAAATGCTACTTTAATTAATGATAATAATGTCGAATTTTCAATCAATTTCATACCGTCTACATTGGGACACAAGAAAGCTATTGTCTATGTAATGTTCAGTAATATGTATACGACTTTAAATAATTTGATGCCCTGAAAATATATTGAATTGTACATGGCAATAGCAACTAAAAATTATTGTATTTACTTTATTTACTTTTTGCTTCTTTATTTTTTAAAACTTATAAATTGCCTATAGTGCCATGTTTTCCTTATTTTTGTGAATATTTTCAATTTTTTTTTTGAAAAATATAATGGTTTCAATAAATGCTTGCCAAGGAATACTTCTCGTTTTATTTTCATTACATAGAAGCATTTTTGAGTGTTTTAATGACGCGAGGATTTTTCATTGTTGACGTCTTCATGATGCTGACTTTTAATATTCTGCTATGTTACATGCAGATGCGTTTTTCGTGTCGAAAAACTGACGAAGACACGAACGTGTATTGTCGGGGCGACTAACTGGTGCAACATTAACATGCAAACACAGTTTCACTTGTTGAGGTATTTGTGATGTTGACTTTGAATATTCTGCTATGTACCATGCAGAAAGTTCCCTGGTATGCATTTTTTAAGCATATGTCCACTTTATATCTAAAAACTGATGAAGACACGAGCGTATAATATCAGGGTGTTGTTGAATTGCCGCTATATGCTGATCAAGAGCTATGACGTTTGTCGAGCATGTTGCGGACATTCCTGAAGAGCATTCGAATAGTGAAGCCGGTCGCACTAACTTGTCTCTCGCTGGATCTACTCTAATAGACATTTCAGTTAACTTGTATAATTTGCGCGCTTGCTTTATTTATCAATAATAAATCTAATTGGTGCAACCAACATAAACACAATGCAAGTACATAGGGTTTCAATTCAATACTCTTCTCGTCAAAGCGGACATGATTGGATTGTGTTTATCATTAGGGGTTTGTTTACATCAGCTGCATTTAAAGCAAACCAATAACATGATTGAGGTAAACAACTACGAAGCAGTGTGTTAGGTAAATCAGTGTCAGCAAAAGTGACTCATTTATCGTCCTCGGTTGCCGTATTTTTGTTTGTAATCTGCTTTAGTGCGATTGTCTTCAACTTCTGTTTAGTACTAATTCGAGTCGGTACTGGTGAATGGTACTATATCAGACAAGACCCAGGTCTCCGAAGTGCGTCCGAACCTGTGCGTCCGAAAATGACATTTCGCCTTTCACGGGTCCCAAACTCCGGAGTAGTTAAACTTCTACAAAGCTGAACGAGATCTGTTCCAGTTGCCACGAATATAAGTCAACGCAGTTTCATAATGATCATGTGTACACCTTTTTCATTAATTCACTATTTATATAAAAAATATTTTTATTTCACTAGAAAGCCATTTTTGCCAAGCTTACAAATCGTACTATAAAACCAAGTGCAATTAAAATAGAAATTGCTAATTTTTCATTTTCATATTGCTGCCAAATATGCTTTACATTGCCAAATATGTTACTTTAGCAATCATTAACAAAAATTAACTTTTAAATAACGCATCACTACTACATCTAGTCACAGAGGAACTATCATATATATATATGTATTTGCCAAAATGCTACTTTAATTAATGATAATAATGTCGAATTTTCAATCAATTTCATACCGTCTACATTGAGACACAAGAAAGCTATTGTCTATGTAGTGTTCAGTAATATGTATACGACTTTAAATAATTTGATGCCCTGAAAATATATTGAATTTTACATGGCAATAGCAATTAAAAATTTATTGTATTTACTTTATTTACTTTTTGCTTCTTTATTTTTTAAAACTTATAAATTGCCTATAGTGCCATGTTTTCCTTATTTTTGTGAATATTTTTAAATTTTTTTTTTTTGAAAAATATAATGGTTTCAATAAATGCTTGCCAAAGAATACTTCTCGTTTTATTTTCATTACATAGAAGCATTTTTGAGTGTTTTAATGACGCGAGGATTTTTCATTGTTGACGTCTTCATGATGCTGACTTTTAATATTCTGCTATGTTACATGCAGATACGTTTTTCGTGTCGAAAAACTGACGAAGACACGAACGTGTATTGTCGGGGCGACTAACTGGTGCAACATTAACATGCAAACACAGTTTTACTTGTTGAGGTATTTGTGATGTTGACTTTGAATATTCTGCTATATACCATGCAGAAAATTCCCTGGTATGCATTTTTTATGCATATGTCCACTTTATATCTAAAAACTGATGAAGACACGAGCGTATAATATCAGGGTGTTGTTGAATTGCCGCTATATGCTGATCAAGAGCTATGACGTAATTGTCGAGCATGTTGCGTTGCGGACATTCTTGAAGAGCATTCGAATAGTGAAACCGGTCGCACTAACTTGTCTCTCGCTGGATCTACTCTAATAGACATTTCAGTTAACTTGTATAATTTGCGCGCTTGCTTTATTTATCAATAATAAATCTAATTGGTGCAACCAACATAAACACAATGCAAGCACGTAGGGTTACAATTCAATACTCTTCTCGTCAAAGCGGACATGATTGGATTGTGTTTATCGTTTGGGATTTGTTTACATCAGCTGCATTTAAAGCAAACCAATAACATGATTGAGGTAAACAACTACGAAGCAGTGTGTTGGGTGAATCAGTGTCAGCAAAAGTGATGAATAAATTCTTAACATGTTATATCGGTGCAATTCGTGCTGCATTCGTTAGATTCGAGGCGTTTTAGGGTTTTGTAGATCGGTGAAGTTGCTATAGGTTGTATAATATGCTACAACACCTGTTTATTTATAATCATCGGGTTCAGAATTGGCGAGGATATGCCTTTGTTTGTGAGTAAGCCGCTACATCTGTCTGTTCGTGCGCAATTTTGGATGTCCAAGAATTTTATTCAATGTCTCACAACTGAAATAGATAGTCGGTCTTACTAAATTATTATTTATTTAGACCAGTGGTTCCTCACAGGGTTCCCACAGTCCTGGTGCTCCGCAAGTTTCCATTTAAGTTCGAGATTCTATGTTAATAAGTATAATGTTTAAATAAAATTAACTATCTAGTAACTTTGCCACTATTATTAACGTTGCTACACTTTCATGATAATTTTATTTTTCTAGTATTAGGTTTGTTTTAAACTTGCAGTTCGTGATAACGACGATCAAACTGGTGCGCCGTGATTCCTCGAGTCTCCGGTTTGTTTTAGTGAGGTTTTGCTACTTCAAAAAGATTGAAAACCACTGCTTTTGACTAACCCCAGGTATTAGTTACACAACAGTAGATGGGTGAAGACATTGCTTCATTGAGTTGTCAGTGGGAATGTTGATATTACTTTCCATGTATGATGAAATTCTAGTTTTTATCACTACGGTAATTATTAAAATAGTGCTGGCATAACTAAGTTGTTAATTATCATGTATAGTATTATTAATTTCCTTTTACAGCCTGATTTTATCTTGAGCTCGTTTGCTTATGTGAATTTGTAAGATTATCACAACCAAATTTGTTTTATTGTTCTGTTGAGCACGGAATTTAGGATCAGGAATCTGTATTCAATCTAGAAACTTGTTGTAACGTCTCGTTGGTCGTTGGACCAGTGTTTTTCAGTCGTGGCACTCTAGGGTTCCGAAAGTAGAGTCCAGTGGTACCTGCAATTTAACTTTCAAACCCGAGAATTAATAATAATTTACGTATATTTTTCAAATGTTATCAAATACCTATTAGGTTTGCTAATGTTAATAAACTTGGTGCATTTTGAAGATCATTTTCTGGCAATATAAGGTTTGCTTTAATTATAGCTATAGCTTACACAATTCAGTCAATAAAAGACAATTAAGCTATTGCACAGGGAATCTTTGAGCCATCTCTGGAAAGCTTTATTGGTGTTCCTTTACACCGAACCACTGCGTTAGTGTATTATTAGGGGTTTGTTAGCTGGTTAGATATGGTGTAGATTAGATATTTAAGGTTTGTATTCTAGAATTTTGGTTTTAATACTATATATATATATATAATGTTTTATGTTGTGATACACGTTATTTAATTTTTGATTGCATTTATTCATTCGTTTTATTGATTGGCCTAATTGGTTGTATTAGAATTTTAATTTAGTGATTAGAAGTAATATAGAATTAATTTGATTGTATTTCGTGAGAAGGAACTCGACGTCAAATCACTAAAGAAGAATTTCTGACAATTTGAACAATTAACACAGAGGGACGTTACAATAGTAATATTTGCAGTACTCTGTACATGCCGAATCGGGTAAGCCGTGGAATGTGAATATTAATAGGACCATTAGGTCGAATTCATAATCTTAAGTCGAATCTAGCCTACGTCTTAACGAAGTCGGAATTTCGTGTTACTGGCATCGTATTTCATAAAGTACAGAATTTTGACAAAATTGGGGTTATTAGAGGTGAAATGAAGTTATCCGGGTAGCTCAGACCTCTGCTTGTTTAGTTACGCTAGCAGTTCATTGAATATATGACCTCGCGTGATCTATCTTGCTTGCTTTCCGTTAGATGGCAATATAGAGTTGCCAAAAAAAAAAAACCGAGGGAGCTATGCTCAAATATATGGACACGTTACGCTGAAATTCACTGTGATACCGGTACGGTACAATAACTTACCAACCGGTTTAACTATTTTTCATGGCTAAAAAAATAAGCGTGTCCATAGTTCATGTTAGTAGGTATAAAGTAATATACGCTCAAAAGGCACGAGTTGTTGCAACATTTGAAATAGCGAGTGCTCATTACTTTCACGTCGGCCTATGAAGATTGCTATCAACATTAACGAAATACATTTACATTATGTTTCTTCCAAACATACGCACACTAGGCGTCGGAAATTAGTAGAATTGTAATTTTTATCAGTGGAGGAGAAAATGAATACCATTTCTTTTTCTTAAATGTATTAATATAGATCAACATTAGTTCAGAATTCTAGAAATCGTATGTTGGCACTCGCAAAATAAGTATTTAAGCAAACTGCAGTTAGAAACTATTTTTTGGGATATTCTTTTGATAATAAGTGCTTTACTAATGAAAACTTCACATGGACACAATACTTTATTTCTTACAGGGAATAATAAAAGATGTTCGTCACATTAAAAGAGTTGAATCGTAAAGGTTTAGCACACATTAAAAGTATACGATGGCTACGCAGTGGTTAATTATGACGAGATGAAGAAGACACGAAGCTCAATAATAAAATTATCGGTGATATTCTGCATGTAGCAGATCCTGCGGAGAGTTTCAAGTCCTGAAGCGAACGAAAATTTGTGGGATCAACGAACAC